CTCTCTCTCTCTCTCTCTCACACACACACACACACACACACACACACAGGTCCCTCACACACCCTCCAAGGCAGCCACATTCCTTCACTAACCTGCTTTTCCATTCTCAGGGGGAGAGGGGGGATATCCTGCGATCCCAAATAAAAACTATTGATCGGTAGGAAAACGGGGTGTCTGCAGAGACCCTAGGAAAATCCCCCAAAAAGTCTTCAGGAAAATCCCCCATCCCGTTTTCATACCTGTCGATCATTCTTTATTTTGGATCGCAGGATACCGTCTCCAGCTCTGTTCTTTGGGTGGGGGGAGAGAGAGACTTTTGGCTTCATGCAATGAAAGTAGCAGAAGTCTTTCTTTCTCTCCCCCAAACTCTGCCAGAAATGAGTCTCAACTTGTCGCGCTAGCGCAGCGTCTTGGAGCAGGATGACTTGCAGGGTGCCAAAGACTCATTTCTGGCAGAGTTTGGGGGAGAGAAAGAAAGACTTTTGCTGCTTTCCTTGCGTGCAGCAAAAAGCAGAAGAAGAAAGAAGCAGCCCAGTGGCCAGGCCAGGCGCGTTGGGCAAGTTCCCCCGCTCTGCCCTTTCCCCCCTCCCCATACTACCTCGTGTTGTTCACAATGCAAGCCTTGTGTTCCCGCAGGCCATGTGGGCAACGCAGCTTTGTGTTCTGGCGCACCTGGATTAATTGCTTTGTGGGGTGCTTTGGGAAAGACATTTCTCTGCGGACCACCAAAATTTTCTTTTGGGCGACCACTGATCTAAATCACAGATGCATTCCTAAAACTTTAACATTTTTGCAGTATGAACTGAAAACAGTTTCTAACAGTGCTGCAGTGATAGAAAAGTAAGTAACAGGTAATCCAGTGGAATTTTTTCTAGCAATGAAACTAAAAAATTGCTGACTATATTCCTTGAAGTTTTGAGTTTGACAATATCAAGTAGGATCATTTTCCTTATTTATATGCATTCTTCATTTAGTATATTTAATATACATTCTTCACATAGTGCAACATATAAGGAATTGCCATCAAGAAACTAGGCAATCATGTAGGAGGAAAACATTTGTTTCAAAGCTAGCATATTAATATCAGCAAGAAATAGAAAACATATCCATAAAATTTAGCTTACAAATGAAGTTTTGGATAATAAGGTAAATATTTATTTTACTTTCAGGGTAGCAGATCTTTTATATCAGTTAGAACAGTTTGAATGTTAGAAATTAGATGGCCAGAGATTAAAAAAAGCATGAATTACTATAAAATGAATTCATCTGTGTGGATTTTATGCAAATGGACAGCAGCTTACCTAAAACTAAGGCAAAATTAGTAATTGTTCCTTGTTATATTTTGGAGAGAAACTTACTTGTTTGGCTTAAAATCTAATCAATTAATCTATACATGAATGAGTAATTACTAAAGTCTAATCATTTGAACTTTTTTTAAGCTAAAAGCAACAGAAGCTGAAAAGATTGAATGGGAGTTAAAGAAATTGCAGCTCCAGGAAACTATAGATGATAATAAAGAAAAAATAAAAAAGCTAGAAACCTACTGGTTAGAAGCCCAGAGTTTATGCAAAACAGTAAATGAGCATCTTAAAGAAACTCAAGAACAATATGATGTGCTGGAAAAAAAATATAACAAAGCGAAGAAATTACTCAAAGAATATCAGCAGAAGTAAGTGTGTTAATGTTATGCTCTGTCAGTTAAGCTCATCTATGCTTGTAATTTCTTACATGTACAATTTGTTTGTTATTGCTATGTTTTTTTCTGTATATTTGTGGGTAATTAAAATCAGGGTCTTGGTGTAGGTTAAAGTACTACATACGATATTAGCACTTTATTTTAGACACAAGAGAAAAAATGTAGGACAACATGAATTATGTAATTCAGGGAAAAGCAACAAATCCTGAAACGATATATTGTAGGCAGTGATGACATTGCAGTTTTATCAAAATAGAGATGGAGAATGTGTTCTTTCAGCTGTTGCCCAATTCCATCTTTCATCATTGGTTGGACTAGTTGAAGCTGCCAGGGGTTATAGTTCAGTAATATCTAGAGGTCATAAGTTCCTCATTTCTGATGTCATTTCATTGAGGTTATTTTCAAAGAACATGAAACAATTTCAAAATATGGGTATTCAGGCCTCCGAATACAACTTAATTCTTGTGTTTTTTAAAATATCAGATTACTTATATATCTAACATGTCCATAAAACAAATGACATGAGTGGCTTGAAAGAGTAATAGTTTAAAAGACATAGCATAGTAAAAAAGAAAAGTAATGAAAATGAAAACAATTAGGAGAGTATATGGCATTTAAACAGAGAATCTATTTCCAAAGTTGCAAAAGCATATCAAATAAGAAAAATATTTAAACCAGCTTTCTCTAGCTATATGTCCTCCAGAACAGTGATCCCCAACCTTTTTTACGCCACGGCCCGGTATCCCCAACCTTTTTTATGGCGCGGCCCGGTACCGACATCAGCTGGGCGCTGCCATCTTGTTTTGATG